AAGCAGTCTTCACTGCTCCTGAGAGATGCATGCTAGCTTCAGGAGTTCAAAGCAAGCTGAACTTGGCTAGGGAGGTTTTACATACACTGCATGCACTGTACAGCTGAGCTATGACCACTTATGAGTTGAATAGCCTCCTCTCCCTTCTTCATGTACCCATCACATAAATACTAGTGAGTGATAACAAATACAGCATTGGATCACCATACATTATGTACCAAACCTCAACATTTGAATGAATACATTGAGGAAAAGATAGGCTTGAATAATAATGCTCTTATTTTCACAGTGCAAAATGTAAAATTTTAGCTATACAAATCAAGCCATACAAAACTTCATGGACATTGGCTTTTTTAGACTTCAGTCAAATTCTTTAATTAATATCTGTACTCTGTACACTAACAAAGTGTTTTCTGCTTCTTCAGGATCAGTTTGTTTTCAATTAAGTCACTAGCAATTTTACCCTAAAACATCAGGTTGTAAGTCTTTAGAAAGGCTTCGGGACACTAAAAATAGACCTTAGTTGACTCAGACATCAAGCTATGTTTATTTGAGTTGAAATTTGGCCCAGGTTTTATGAAAACTCTGCACAGATTTAGCAAAAATATTTGTGAAATGTTGGGCACATTTGTACAAGGCTTCAGATTTTGGAACCAATGTCAGAATCTAGCAATAAGGCACGAATAACAGCAATGCTCTATGAACTTTTAGAAATATCAAATACCACGTGTCAGACATTAGCTTCTATATTTTCCTTTCCTTTCCATACATCTCCAACAGATCCTCTTTTCATGTTCTTGAAATCCAAGGAGCATACACACACCCTGAAGATGGAAAGGCTTTTCCAAGTACTTTAATATTCCTGCCCACATTTTAATTTCTTCATTAGATAAACAATATACAATTAAAAGGAACACTGCAAAAGTGTTTTCTGATCAGTGTTCTTGTAGTGATTTATATCTGGTAATCAGAACATTACAAAGGGGTTACATATAGTGTTAATCCTAACTACAGTGAACCCAGTGAAATCAACAAGACTAAAGCTAGTTGAAAACATTCATTCATTTCAGTCAATCTGCTTTAGGTATGTTGCAGTGATTTTGGGCTCTGCCACTAGGCAAATAGATTTTGGAGACTTTGTTAGTGTCTCGGCCAAACATTAACAACTGCCCAATAATATAGAAAGGACTAATTTGTATATAATGACTTTGTTTGAGTGTTTGGTTTGAGCATTGCATTAAGATTCTGGTGACCAGGGTTCAAATCCTTGTTCAGACACAGAAACCCTCTGGCTAACCTTGGGCAAGTCACACTCTCACCTTCAGAGGGAGGCAAAGGCAACCCCATTCTGAACAAATATTGCCAAGAAAACCTGGTGATAGGCTTGCCTTAGGGTCAGAAAGACTTTAAGGCACACAACAACAACTTTGTTAGATGTGTTTTGCTTTGGCATGGGTTGCAAAAGATATGTAGGCTGGGAATAGACTGGAATAGTGAATCTTCTCTTTTAGTAACCAGCTTGTAGAGTTCTAATGGATGCAGAGGGAAGAATTACATTTGCACACTTTGATTTTGTGTGCTTTTTGTGCACCCCAGTTAAAAGGCCCCCACAGCTCACCACGAGGACTTCAATTGCTGCCAAGGATAGTCTGGGTAGGATTAATTGTTTGAAGGCCCAATTGTACCATTAGCTGTGAGTGGATGTTGAACCCCATCAGCAAAAATCCATTTGCTGTTTCATTTACCACCAATAAAGCTTATCTTATAGCATTAACATGTACCAGTGTCTGGTACAAAATGAAGCCTTTAGCAGTTCTGGAACAGGACAAATTTCTGAGCAGCGTTAACATCTTGGCTTATAGATAGTAACTACAATAAGACAAAGGGCTAAAACCAGTGTTAGTCTTACCTAGAGTATTTATTTATTTATTTATTTATTTATTTATTTATTTATTTGATACCCCTAGTTTTATCCCAGAATGGGACACAAGGTCAATAACAATTTGAGTTTAAATTAAGTACAGTTTAAACTCAAATCCTCAAGTCAAACATTTAGCAATGGTATTTCAAGGTGCCACATTACCAAAATGGTGTGTGTGTGTGTGTGTGTGTGTGTGTGTGTGTGTGTGTGCACATATGCATTTTGTTTGCCTTCACATTGTTTCCAATTTATGGCAACCCTAAAGCAAGCCTATCACAGGGTTTTCTTGGCAAATTCTTTCGGGGGGGGGGGGTTGCCATTGCCATCCTCTGGAGCAGAGGGAGTATGGCTTGCCCAAGGTCACCCAGTGGATTTTCATGGCCAAGTAGGGATTTGAACCCTGCTCTCCAGAGTTGTAGTCCAACACTCAAACAACTAGGTGGTACAAGATGCCATTTACTTAGAAGTGTTAATATCAAGGTTACAGTATATGTGCATCAAAGTTAAAATTGTTCAAACCATTGTATTCCCCATCTTCATATAGGGATGTGACAGCTGGACAGTGAACACAGTGAATAAGAAGAAAATAAATTCACTTGAAATGTGGTGCTGGAGAAATGTGCTGAGGATACCATGGACAGCCAAAAAGACAAACAAATGGGTCCTTGAACAGATCAAGAAGATGTTGTGCTTTGGTCACATCATGAGAAGGCATGATTCATTGGAAAAGATAATAATGCTAGGAAAGGTATAGGGCAGTAGAAAGAGATGAATACCACACATCAGATATATAGACCCAATCAGGGAGGTCACAGGTCTGAATTTACAGGAACTAAGCAGCATTGGAAGACAGAGAGTCTTGATGATGTCTCATCCACAGGGTCACCATAAGTTGGGACTGGATCAAAGGCAGTTAACAACAACAGCAACAATAACAGCATATATAGATCAGATCAAGGTGATGTAAAATGCCTAGAGCCTGGAAAATCACATTTAAAGATAATTTATTACTGTTAATAGTGCTTGAAAAGCAAACTAATACCTACAGGCTCCTGGGTGTAGCCATTTCCCAGGCCACCCCAGCTTATTCCAGCTGCTCTTGAGTACAGTGGGAGGAAGGAGTAAACTTCCTTTGGGAAAAGCACCTTCTCATGTTGCTTGTTGCACTGCTCACTGTTCCCTTATTACTTTCTGTTACTTTTTTCAGCAAGAAAAAACATTTGAGTGACAAAAGAATAATGTAAAAAGTGAAGAAATCCTATTAAAACACCCCCAAAAGGGCCCTTTAACAATAACTTTGGAAACTAGGAACTCTTTTTTATTCCCAGCAATAATATAACTATATTCTTACTCATGTTACTATTGAAATGTAATTTTGTTCCACCCTTGTTATAACTCTAGTAACTATTTAAATGTAGCTATGTTTCTTGCAATTTATTATTTCTTAGCTCTGAACAGCCTCTGCCCCCAAAGGAAGTTTTCTCCTTCCTCCCACTGTACTCAAGAGTAGCTGGAATAAGCCGGGGTAGCCTGGGAAATAGGCTATACCCAGGAGCCTCTAGGTATTGTTGTGACTAATGTTACAGCCCATTGATACCCTCCTCTCTTGATATCAGAATTATGATAAGGATATGGGCTGAGTGACCCTTCTATGTCCCTGTTGCAGATGCCATTACCAGAAAAATAGCCTCAGCACATAAACTAGCAAAAGCAGTTGCATGAAGGCCCCTAGATTTGATTGATCGATCCCGGACATTCTGGAGGAGGCGAGGAGATCCAAGACTATGGTTCAATCAGCTCCAGATTTAATATAGACAAAGCATGGGCAATCTTGCATGACAATCCTCTCTACCTGGAAATGTGTGTCCATTGCTGTCCATTCATACCTCAGTGTTACCACCTTGGAAAACTATTTCAAAATATTATTGAACATTTCCAAAGTACTTCAAAACCCATTTCAAAGAACTTCCAGCCATTTGGTCTTTTCAACACCTTGGAATCTGCCCCCAGGTAAATTTAGTATAATTATTGGTACTCTTTCATTGTGTCTTTGGCTTAGCTTAGTAGCAGGCGGAAACACTGCTGGTTAACTTGGTTAGCACCTCTTTCACTCACCATCCTCTGCTTGCCACAGGAGCAATTGAGTCCTCTTTCAGTCTCCAAACTGCCAGCAACTGAAGTTGCAATCCTCTCAGGTGCAGTATCTCCATTAGTGAAGCTTCATTTCTATTCCAATCTAAGATGTTTGATTTCTCTATTCCTTGTGATCATGTGTGATTGTTTGCTTATGTGTGCATGTTGATTTCACCTTTTAAATGAAATTCACCAGTATTAAACCTGCCTATGGAGTTCTATGTACTTCTGGACTTGGTATGCATTGGGATTGGTAACCTAGGCTGTTACCTGGCCACTAGGTACAACTACCTTTGAGCTAAAATGCAATTCCCCAAACATATATTAATTTTGGAGTGTCCACTTTGGACAGGTCTACACCCAGGGTAACACTAAGGTGGGAGTCTTGAAGAAGGATCTCCTGAATACCTCCTTCCACAAGGTCTGGAAAAATACCTATGTGAGTGAAACTGCCCAGTTATGCTCACATATGTCAGCATTTAAGTCATTATTGTCTGCTCCATGAACAGGAATCTTCATCCCCTGAAATACTGATGAACTACCACTCCTGTCACATCTCACCACTGGTTGGTCTGACTATGCTTGATAGTATTTGTGGGGAAAATATTTTTAAGAACGTATCTCTGAGACAAGAGTGGGCAGTCACATAAAACCCCATTCTCTCCTCCCCCTGGATCCCTATGAGCCATTCTTCCACTTACCAGGAAATGACTAGAAAGTCACTTTAGTTTTAAGGAAACTACTGGGGGGAGAAAAATGTTTTAACTGAGGATTGCACTCCTTGGGGACTTCTTGTGATGTGGGTCTCAGGAGACCCTGAGAGATGTGGGGCTCCAGATGCCATATTGATATGGCATAAAAGGGTTGTATATGGCCTGCTGCAACACTATTCTCAATTATTCTCTAGGGTCTAAAGCAGATTGTTTTCTCTGTGTGCTCCTTTGACTGCAGATGCCAGGTATTGAACTTGGGACCTTGTGGTTTCAAAGCATATGCTCAGCCCCTGAGCCACAATCCCTGCCACAAAATGTCAACATGTCTGTCTTGGTTTTTCTTATCTCCTCCTAGCATATACAATGTATGAAAGGGTAACATGGTTGTGATTGTTGCTGGTGCAAAATGCTACAGGGAGGAAAATGAAGTGAAGGTGAAAGCTAGAATCACTCTCCCAGCTACAAGCAAGAAGGCTTAATTTATTACTTGGAGAAGTCATGCTCCCTTCCAATGGTTTAGGATTTCATTCAAGCATTTACAGAGATGGCAGGCTACCCCTCAGGCTCCCTTTCCCCATAATTCATATCTTGGTCAAGAGTGACAGTTTCAATAGGAACTGTGTACAGAGATTGCTATAGACACATGGAGCTTTTCACAATCACCAGAGACAGAACATCTTCAAGTTATACCCATCTTCTGAGATCCAGCATGGTCATGGCTATGCCAACTTGGGATGGGCATATTCTGAGACTCATAGTTCAAGATAGCAAAGCTTCCAAGCTCTGATTATATCCCCAGACTAGTAGACTTCTGGGGTTTTGCTCAAGGGTTTTACTTTGTTAGAGGATATATTCAAAATCGGTGAATCCAATCTAAATGTCTGGTTTTAGCTAAAGTACACCTGGTGAATTACTTGCTGAATGCTAAGCCAACACTTGCATAAATCAAATCATTTCAATGTGTCTATTCCAGTTGGGATTAGCAACTAGATATTAGTTCTTTGTCATCATTCCAAATGTATGGAAAAGCAAGCTAAAGACAGAATCAAAGTCAATCCACTCTTTAATTTTTTAATGGGCCATTTGATCATCAACTTCAGAGTAGATCAATTTCATTCCAGTGGATTAAACTCTCTGGCTTTTCTTTGCAAACAAAGATTCAGGAAGGACTCATCCCA